CGAGGCTCACCGAAGAGAGCAGAGAGCACTATCACTCCATGGCGAAACAGCGCGTCTTGCTCTACGGCATGGAGCACTCGTCGGTCAAGTCGCTCCAGGCACTGGTCGTTCTGGCCCTGGATCTGGTGGGCAGCAGCAATGGGCCACCTGGCTGGAACATCATGGCTCTCATCACGCGCTCCGTCGTTCAATTGGGACTCGCAGTCGAGAGCACCTCGTTCTCCGTCTCCCCAAACTTCACCTCGATCTACACGCTCAGAGCCATGATACTGCCGGAACCCAAAGACTTTATCGAAGAGGAGTCGAGGCGACGCTTGTTCTGGATGATTTACCTTCTCGACCGCTACGCGACCATCGCCACGGCTTTCGAGTTTGCGCTCGACGACAAGGAGATCGACAGGACGCTCCCCTGTCGCGACGACCTGTGGATCAAGAACCAAAAGGTCGAGACGCGATGGTTCAGGTTGCAGGAGCAGGAGGAGCCAAATCCGGAATACGATGTCAATAAGCCGGAGAACCTTGGTGCCTTCTCCTACTACATTGAGATTTTGGCCATCCTCTCCAAGGTGCACAAGTTTCTCAAGCTGCCCGTAGACATCAGCGCGCTGAGCGACGTCGAGCAGTGGCAGATGCGCTACAAAGAGCTGGACAACATGTTGACGTCTTGGAAGTTTGGCCTACCTGGGGAGTACGGGAACATGGCCAAACTGTTCCAGCCCGGAAACAAGACACTCAACTGCGGATGGGTCATGTTGCACGCCACCTACCATACCGCCGTCATCCGGCTGCACTCGTCGGCGGCGTACCCCACAACCCGATCTCCCATATTTACGCCCTCCTACAGCGCATCTCAACGATGCCATGGTGCTGTCGAGAACATCGCCGCGCTCGGCGAATTTGTCGTGAACAACGGTCTACTCCCCAAGCTGGGGCCTCCATTCGCCTTCACCCTGTGGGTAGCGGCCCGTCTTCTCCTAGTCCATGGTTCGACGGTCGAACACAAGCTGTCACCGCAGATCCAGTTCTTCGTAGACAGCCTGCGCGAGATGGGGCGTTACTGGCCTGTCGCGGCGCGATACTGCGAGCTGCTGCAGCGAGTGCTTGATGAGCATCGCGACAGCGAGCGCACCGGAGACGGTGTGACACCGAGCTCAGTCAAGATCCTCTCGGACATGCGGCGCACCGCGTTCGACCTCGACTTCTTGATCTCCCGGCAGCCGGGACCCAATGGAGTCATCACGCACAGCCGCATGCCGAGCGTCACGCCGGCACGAACGCCGGCGCCCAACGAGCTCGAGTACCTAGACGTCTTTGACTTCTTCAACGTCCCAAGGCTGCCTTTTGGCGAGCAGATTGCAGGTGTGCAAGGAATGCCCCAGAACAACGGTGCACACCAAGCATGGATGGCAGCAGCGGCGAGGCGCCTCAAGGACCGCCACCGCCGCAGCCGCCGAGCAACGAGTTCAACATTACGAACTTTATGGTCGATGCCAACAGTGACTGGCTGTTCAAGCAAGAGGGTGGCAAGTACATGTCTTGATTGGTCATTTGATCTTGGTCATGCGATTGTGCGACCACTTATTTGATTGATTCCGGAGTTTGAGGCGCGACGGTGGGAAGGCTTGGGCGGGCTGTGTACATTGGATGAATGGTCACAGACGCAACGCAGCGGTGAGAGAATGAATGGATGGATGTGCTGGGCTCAGCTGGGAGGGCAAGGAACACAAAAGGCCTTCTGGCCAAAAAAGGCCCGGAGAGGCCATATGATACCTACTTGTTGTTACTGATGTCAAATGATAATGCGCTGGCGGGGATGAGGATAATACATGTACGATGGTTCAGTGTTCACTTCATGGTCGAAATGCAGTGTCCAGAACGAGCGCCTGTTCTGCTCTCTACTCGCTAGCGTCATGTGTTGAAAGGAAATAACGTTCTGGCTTGGAGGCGGTTCCGTCGTCGGTCTCTGTCGCTTGTGTTCCAGACCTGACATCTGGAGAAGCCCGACTGGCCATGGTTGACGGCTGGGCCGTGGGTAAGGCGAATCTTTAAGGCCACGCCGGGGGGCTGCGGCTGATGAGGCTATTGCTAGTCTAGATAGAGGAACTGGGACGTTGCGTACAAAACGCAATTACATAGATCAATAAAGGGGAAGGTCCTCATAATGCGAAAATACCAACATCCCATACACGGGGACCCCATGTCCTCGTCGCCGCTCATTCATCGTAGCTCGCAGTTAAACGCACGTCTAGAATTGTGGTTTCCCTCCCCTCGAAAAACCCGACAGGTCTATTTCGTCCAGCGCGGCCTACCACACCCATGGACCTCTGCAGCGCCTTGTCCTTTGCGACCTCCTCCCCGGCCCGCGAGCGCCGCCGCCCTCGCCACCTTCAACGCCTGCGTCGCGCGCCACAGGCAGCACCCCGCCGACGAGACGCCCTGGCAGCCCGCGGCCGGGACGACGTGGCAGATCCTCCTCGACGCGCCCCTGGCCATCGACCCGCAGGCCCCGGCCGTGACGCCCGACGTCGAGGTCTACGACGTCGACCTGTTCGAGAACCCGGCGTCCACGTTCGCGGCGCTGCGGGCGCTCGGCAAGAGAATCGTCTGCTACTTTAGCGCCGGGTCGTACGAGGACGGCAGACCCGATTCGGGGGATTTCGATACGGGCGCGGGGGGCGATCTCGGGCGCAAGCTCGAAGGATGGCCGGGCAAGTACTGGCTTGACACGAACAGCGAGACGGTCAGGGGAGTCATGAGGCGGCGGATCGAGCTGGCGAGGGAGAAGGGGTGTGATGGGGTTGACCCGGATAATGTGGACGGGTTTGTATGTGCCTTCTCCCCATGTGCTTGCATGTTTCCAGCTTGCTGCGTCCAGCCCTCGTCATCGGCTGTCTTGGGATCTGAA